CAGGCGTTTTCCCGTGGCTGTTCCGAGATGTGGATTACGCAGCTGTTCTTAGGAGGCGGATGCCATAGCTGTTCTAAAGGGGAAAAAAACGCGTGATCGCACCGGCTCGCCTGGTGCGTTCCAGCCTGGGTAACTTCTTAAAACGTGCTAGTACAAATTCGCCGTTGACATGGGTCGTGAAGGGCCAGATTACCAAGTGGGAAAAAATGAGCCATCGGCTAAGCGGGGAGTCAGTGCAGCATGTTCTTCAAAAACTTCAGAAAAAATAAAAAAAATTTTGGTTAACCTGCTTCTGAAGGAACGCAGTGAGTTTCTCAACAGTTAGTGCAGCTATTTGATCATTTTTGCCACCATCAACGATGCCAAAAATAGCGGGCGCACGTGAACATGGCCGAATCTGCCGAATACACAGCCTGAAAGTTTAACGTGGCGTTTCCCAGAAGATTTTGCATATTCCAGAGATTATCATCTAAACTACTGAATTAGCCAGTAAATACAGTTGTTCGGGATAAACCTTTCATATCCAAGTAAAATGGTAAAATCGAAAACGGCTCATCACAACAGTTGTAATGTACTTGATCTCGTTAGGCAACGTGAATAGTTGAGACAATTTCACACCTCATTTGCGCATAGGCGGATCCAGGACTGATTCCTGAAGGGGGTGGGGGAAAAAGAGAGAGGGGGAGGGGGGGAGGGGAGGAGGAGAAGGCAATGGGGATGAGGAGAAGAGTTCACTCCCATCTCGGAACTATGCGAAAACTAGGGATAGAGTTGTAATACAGCTACTTAGAGTTATTTTAGGCTTTAGCTTACACTTGCTTTAGCTTTAGACCCGGCTTTTATAACACAGGTGCCTGTGCCGAAAGGATCTGCCTGTAAGTATATGCATTAAAGGAATCGTTGTGTGCGTGATATCACTGCAACCATGCCATAAAACAGAATCCGGTGGACAGGGTATGCTGCTTAACTTGCTGACAACCGGCGGACGTCATGCATTAGTGAGTGAGTAAGAGAAAGAAAGTAAACGATTGCTCTGGTATCCCCTGAAGAGGTGGCGCACATACACTGAACAGGCTGTGGAAAATAACTGGAAGTATGCAGCTGCTCAGGAACCAAAGGAACTGGCTTAGCTGTTCCCAGTGTGTGGGAGCATAGCAATAACATCACTAACATGAGATATTCACACTAAATGCCACGACGGCCTTACTGCTCATGGCATAGGCATAAAAGAAAAGTGGATTAATTTAACAGGGCTTTTTAATTCGCATGAAAGTGTTTTAAAAGTGAAATGCTTACTTGTTTCGTTGTCCAGCAGTTTCAGAGAATCCAAAATGAAATGAAGCATAATTGCATTCGCTTGCAACATCGACCACTGACACTGCTCGTCCCTCCCTGCATGTGGAAGAATCTCAGTCAAAAATTACTACAAGAAATAGCAAAAAAGGGTAAATTTAAGCATCCTCTGGCATATGTCAGTACCAGCTTACCATCGAAACGAATGAACGAACTGCAAAGGGATCTGTTGTCTCAGCGAAATCGAATTCTCGAACTACTGCGTGATAACAATACTACTTCCCACCGTTTCCTGCGTGCCGGGGGAATATTATTATTTTTTAAAAAAATTAAAGAGGATTAAAAGAACGAGGAAAAAATCTTACTTTTTTGGCCGTATATTGCTAGTATCAACCTGTAGCTTATAATTACATGTGAGATCGAGATGTTTCAGCGTCCTGGCCATGCACAAATCGGTGTCCAAATATCCGAACTCATTGTTCGAAATATCCAACGACTACAATAAAAGAAAGAGGATGACTTTTTTGAGCAAAACAAAAAAATTTTTATTTTTGAAGCGCTGACTTAAAAAGATGGCACAAATAGCACTGTTGTCGTGCAATAGGACAAAAGTTCAAACTATCATGGGACAGCCAAGCCCTCCACGATCCATCTGGTACGGGCATACAGCAGGGAGTCATACTCTCCACCAACTTGCTTGTAAGCAACCCTCAGGATCATCGACAGTCTTGACAATGGGTGGTTGTTGCTCGCATTTGCTACCAGCTCGGGCTACCTTCCGAGCGACTCTGCCTCTCACAAAAAGCTACTAAGGGCAAAGTTTTGAAGTTTTGGAAGGTGAATTAATTTAAATCCAGAAAAGGGGTAAACTAAATGCAGAAAAAGAAGGGGCAAAGCAGAAGATTGCTGATGCATTGCTGTAAGCAGACCGACGACGTACATATAGAAGCGCCGACTGCGAAAGATCCGGCATTGTCGTGATTGCATTCGAATGCACACGCAACACCTGCAGATTCGGTAACTGACCAAATGCACTAGCGATGGAGGTTAGACGATTGCAGGATAGATTCACTTCTTGCAAAGCCAAAAGACGGCTCAAACAGCTGAAATCCACAAGAAACGTATAAAGGGATGTACAAAAACAACTAACTGTAATTTAGGCCGCAAAAGTGCAAGTAACAAAAAATTGGATAAAGTATCCCTGAACAAAAACAACACATTATACATCTGAGACTTAAAAGCCACTTTAGCGAAATTGCCGATTCAACTGGAATAGCTGCATTCCGTCCTCATTTCCTGAATTTTTCCAGTTATTTCTTGCATTTTTGCACATCTGTGCAAATGCAAAAACCCATATTATGACGATTCATGATGTGTGTGTTCAGGTGTTCCAAGTCGGCAATCAAGTAAGCTTTGATGCTAAAATTTTGCCAGTGGGTTTCCTGGACAAGCGCTATCCCAGAAACATGCAACCAACTTTCGTATACGTCTGAGCCCCACGTAAGCGCGTGTGAATGCTTTGGTGGGAAAATTGCTAACTCGGAAAGAAAAGCTGGACAGCTGAAGTTTCGAAGGAATGTTCCCTGTGTGAGTATAACTTAAAGATTGCAAACTCTTTCCCAGGTATGCGTGATTCTCATGCACAGGCATGCAAAAGTTTTAGCAAGAAAATTGCTCACTAAACAACTAGAGGCATTTCAATCTCACCTGTCATCGAAAAATTTTAGCTGGTTGTATGAGAGATCCAAGAGTCGCAGACGTCGACAGGAGACCACAACACTGATCACACTCTCATCCAGTTGATTACTTGCCGCCCGAAGGAACTGTAACCGATTCAAATCGAGCATTGTGTTCGCCACTGGCAAGCTTTTGAGTCGATTATGTGAAACATTTAAATTTCGAAGTCTAAAATAAAGCAATATCGTTGATGGAACAGTACTGAATTATTCAAAAGAAGAAGCTTAGTGGCATTGTAATTTCAGGTTAATCACAGTTCCAATTTTCATTTACTTCTCTCTTCAGTTCCTACTGCTAATTACTTATCGACAGAACTGTTAGTGCAGAAAACCGCCATTTTCCTGAGACTGGTTTTGAAACAGAGCCGAGCTATGCTGGATTTTCCTGTCTTGAGCTATTTTTCTTTAAAATACCAGGAATACCAAGATCTCCCGGACATTCGATTTAAGTATTCCATGCTAGTGATGTTACTGAGATTCTCCCATACTCTCTTCGGATGCAACTACGCAAAGTCTTTCAATCCTGAAAAAACTGTTAAAAAAACTGCAGTTAAACTTACTTATGTGCTGCTTTGAGTAAGTCACTCGGTAGCACACCGATACGATTACAATGAAGCGATAAGGTTTCCAGCAAGCAATTCTCAATTACGTCCGGTAATCGCTCTATTCTATTGTTATTCACACGCAGTTGCTTCAGACTGCTTACAGTTGCAAAAATCCTGCAACCTTGTTGTCACCAGTAACCTAAGGCGAGCAAGCAATATTTATAGATTGCATTGACTGGATCGCTGAATTATCAGAAAAACGCAGGATCGGAGATAATGGGTCCAAACAACATTTGTATCGATAGGTATCTTGGACAACAGTCTTTGTTTCATTGCTTAGCTGTAAACACAGACAGAGCAGAGCGAGCGAGTAGCAGTGAGAAGCATTAGTACAACCTCTTATGATTTATATATTGTCAGAAAAAAAAGGTTTGGGGCAAAAAATAAGGATCCTAAGAAACGCGATAAACAACAGAATCAACAGCAAGCTCAGTAATTTGTTGGCTAAGTTTCACTGCCCAACTGATCACTGTTGTCATTGAAGAAAAAAAGCCTCTAACCTGTAAGGCAAATATCGAATGAGATTATGATGAGCGATGATCACTTCGATGTGCGGTAAATCGGTTATCCATTCCGGCAATGAAGTGAATCGATTAAATGAGATCGAGAAAACCACCAATTCAATCGGAACTGGCATTATTATTGCTTGTGTGAGATCTAAAAAATAATTATGCACGTAATCAAGCACAAAAGTCAAAATAGCTGATGGCTGTAATAACGGGATAAGTGATTATTTAAAATCTTAAACGTGATATGGCAACCAGTCCCTCTACGACTCGTCTATTCATTTCGACGATAAATTAGTATTAGCACACCGTAAGGAAACAAACCCATCATCAACCTGCTTAAAACCTTCCCTGATAGAAGGAAAACAAAATCGACACTCTTGCAAATGGATGATTCTCGACAGTCTTGCAAATGGATGATTCTCATTCTCCAAACGTTTCGGATAGTTTCTATAGAGCAGGGAATTTGAATTTTTAGCTATCGGTAATCCTTTTAATATGTGCTTATTCTGGAAACGCACTCTGCACACTCCGCAGTAACTCAACCAATCGAAGGAAGTTCGTCACAGTGACAAAAACCAGAAGTTTTAACTTCTCGTTAAAAATAGCCTGAGGACAACTGGGGAAGGAAGCGTGGCCGGTAAATGAGTTCATAACTATTAGAATGAAGATCCAATTCTGCAGGCAATTCATCTCCCATAAATTATCCCAGCAGAGAAAAAAGACGCTCTGTCTAGTATGTCTTTCGGAATTACCTCCAAAAATTCAACAACTCCTCTGTACTCAGTCTCATGAGAGAAGGAGGCACTCAGAAGTATCCCGAGGACTGTCAGTGTCAACAGCAACCAACCGCTGGCAAGGGTGCAATTGATAGCCTCTTTCGAGAATTACTTAGAAACAGGCCGGATGGCGGGTTTGACTCATTTGCAAAAAATACCAAACGAAAAACGAACCATTGTCGTCAGCATATAGATATCTGAGATTAGTACCATTCACCTGTAGGCTCGTTAGCTGAAGCCGTTCACAGCGCACTGTCTGTAACACAAAGAAACATGCCAGTGGGTTTTTGCTTATTCCAATAAAGTAAGCAAAGCGGACGCGCCGAAAAACCAAATTTGGTTCGTCCGTTTCAAAATAACCAGTTCCTGGTGTTTTCCAGTCAATGAATTACCAGGCCTCAGCGTTCCCAGGCCGATTCTTTTCACTTTTTGAGCAATTTCATATTCTTGGATAATGAAAGCGCTTTTTTACGAGGTTCGGCTAAAATTTGCAACCCTTTGCCGAAGAAGACAACAACTACTTATCAAATTTTTTGAATTTTTCCATTTCTCTTTGGTGGCATTTGTCCCGTTTACTATGTGTTTGATTTACTTAACAAAAAAAATCCAAAAAAAAAAATAGATTTAAGACGACGAAACGAACAACTTACTTGTATAGTAGGCAAATTGCTCAAATCCAATTCGGATAAATTCTCATTATCGCGCACATCCAGCTCCGTAAGCGAACCACAAATAAATGACGTTAAACGTACGGCACTAAATTATCAAGTATACTTAATATGTCTTGTGATGATTTCACAGTTAATAAACTGTGATGTTTTTAATCACTAAAATATTAATTATCGAAAAACAAGAGGAACTCACATAAGGCATTTTGTGGTTCGGAGTGGCAAATTTTGAGAAGAAATAGTGATTCTCAACAAAAACAAAGAATATCTTAAAATTACTGCTAAAGCCCTGCCAAATGCGATTGTCGAAGGTTTCTTCGTGAAATGAAACGAGCATCAGGACAGCTAGCGGACTGACCGACGGGCAATTCAACACTGGTCAAAGGAATTGAAAAAATTGTCGTCTGTACAGACGGAGCATTATCAGACAGTGGCAGATACGAGGATTTCAAGATATCCCAGACATATTGCTTCACTTCCTCTCCATCGAATTCTCTAGGCCTGTTACGCTGACATGTCAGTGCATTAATATCCTCTCGTAAGCCGAGACGATATGTGTCCTAGTCCGCAGCAAACGGTGGTCGTTTCTCGCATTGAAAGATGGTATTGAAAAAATGCGCTTGAGAATGCGCTATGTATCGATCAAGATTGATCGATTTGGTCCTTTTTTGCATCCGCCGCAATCCAAATCTATTTCCATCTCGAACCTTTCCGAACTAGGTAAAACCAAGCAGCAGTTCACTTGTCTCTGTCGCTGTAGCTCAAAAATTTTCGAAATATTTGCCGGGAAAAATACTCACTGGTAATGGACACTAACCGTGTTAGAATATTCCGGCGTAAGTCAATATTCTGAGCAAGTATGCAGGACAATGAATGAAGCGCTGATACACTGATTTCATTGCCAGCCATTTCCAAATGTAGCAGTCGTTTCAGCGTGAACAAAACGTCTGGAATCTTAAAAATACGCTTTTATCTAATTAAAGTTGAAAAAAAAATATGAAAAATCCCTTATTTTTAAAAAAGTTTACAAAATGGTTTTTTCGAAAAGCTGCTATCCTTTTAATTTTTCATTCATTACTTATAATTTCTTATGTTAGCTAGTTTTGACTGATAAATAGGTTATCTGCAAATGTGCTCCTGAACAGTTAGCAAAAGTCCATCCAAATCGCTCGCGATAGAACTTCTCTAAATGTTCATCGCCAGAAAATACTGAATACAAGAATTTTTTTTACTCTTAGTAAAAGTTTTATAGCTCAGCCCCTGCATGATTCCCCTTATCATTCTCAGAGAGTGAAATAAAAAGAATTATCTCAGTCCTGATGAATCTAGAATAAGCAACCGCTGCAGAAAAAATTTGTCAGAGAGATACCAGGATTAACAATACCATGTAGAAAATCAGTGTGAATCCTACTGCTATGATATTATTAGGATACACTCACGCGCCAGACGTAGCTGCGCCAGTCCTTTCGATCATAGGTTGCACACCTCCGGTTAGTACTCACTATATGCTCGATGCACATGCGCTATTTCACGGGTTGCTCGAGTGGTCGTCTTTCTAGCTAGTACCACTTACTAATGCATAATGTCCATCATGGTGCTGGCAAAGGGAGCATGCTTGCCCTGCCTAACGAATTTTTCTTTACTCATTTAGTACCAGTGATTTCCTGCAAGTCGCTCGTTTGACGAGAAATCTGGTGGTTTATATGATCGCGAAGGGATACACAAAAAGCAACCCATCGCTCTCTTCATCACTGCTAGTACTCGCTCGCTCTTCAACTTTCACCAGGGACCACTTGCTCCATCGTTTTTTTTCGTCACAGCTAATATTCGCTCTTTAACTTTCATCAGTGATCACGCTCCGCATCCGTATGTCATTGCCTTTAGCACAGTGGTACTGAAGAGTTGGGCACGATCATTAAGACTAAATAATAGTGATAAAAGGCTGAACACCTGATCAAAACGATTGAACGATAGGTCGAGCTTTGATATCATAGCACATTGTGATAACTGTTCCGGCAGTGAATGCAACCAGTTATTGCTGACGTTCAGCACTGTTAAACTGAAAAAAAAAAACAGGTTAAATCCATGCAATTTAGAAACTCAATGAACTTCCTAATTTCCAGAAGATGAACTTGTTAAACCAATCCTTTACTTCAAGATAAGTAGCCATCTTTCACATACTTGGTCAGCTCAGAGATTTGTGTTGGGATGCAGGAAATCCGATTTCCGGATAATATAAGTTCCGTAAGATTGAAAAGTTGTGTAGCCGCGTTAGGAAAATAATACAGTGAATTGTCAGCTATGTTCAGTGAGCGAAGTGCCTGCAAGCGGTTCAGCTCATCCAGCCATCCCAGAAGCGGACTGAGCACCTGAAATTCAAGCATTATTTTGTGTCAAAAACATCAGAGCTCCTTCCGTTTGCTTTTCTTGTGGAATTAGAGTGGTAACATCCGCTGGCAAGGCTATCGATGGATTGCTCTTTCGTGGTTTGCTCAAAAACAAGCTGATGGCGGATTTATGCCGGTACCAACTTGCCATCGAAACGAATGAACGAATCGTACATAAACCGGTTGCTTCACCAGTGGAGCATCACCACAGCCAAAACCTTGCTAGTACCAGCGTAAAATACTTTGACGAGCCAATGCTCAAACTCCACCCAGAATTCGACCAGTGTGGTAAAATCGGGCCAGACGAATTCATTCATCCGTCATATGAGAAGTCTGAACAAGTGAATCATCCGGTGATACTAAACCATTCAAAAATTTAACAATATGACGCTATCAAATATTCTTTTTTTTTGGAAGACGAAAGGAAGAGTGAACTCCGCGAAGGAACTCAGGGAACTTATTAGGAAAGCCTCGAGTGAAGAAACCAAAGACACTAAAGCTGTTCTTTTATAATCAAATTTTACCTCGAATTTTGGAAATTTAGAAGCAAAAAGCTCATTATATGACGACCTGCAGCAATTACATCCCCTGCTTAGGTTTAACAATTTTTTACTCCAAACTAGTTTTTAACGCAAAGTTTTCTGCCCCTTGCTATCCTTCCCCTTCTTTCTCTCCTTTTCATCACCTCATCTGCCTTTTCCCTCTTCCTCGTGACGGGGAAAAAATTAAATGCAACAGAAAACAGCTGCCAAAGGTTTTTTCTTTCAGTGCTAAATTATCGTTATTTGCATCTATTCGATTATAATGAAGAACTGGATTTAAGGCACAGACAGGTTCAAAGGCGAAGAATTTTTTTGGTCACAGTTTCGAGATTTTTATGCAAACTTACCTGATTTGATGGACGGTACTGCAAGGAATTGTGACGTAGATTGAGCGAGACAATTTGTCGATTGACGGTCGATGAAAACAATTGATCCGGGAGCAGCAGCAAACGACGGTCACTCAAATCACAACTTGGAGCTAACTGACACTGAAACAAAATCCTTGTATACTGAGAAAGCAAGAACTAACTGCACTGCGTATTAGCAGAGTCATTTTGTGAGTTGCATCTTAGCCAGGTTCAGGAAATATTGGAAAATGAAATAACTGGGGAGTACGAGTGAGGAGTGAACCTTAGCCAGGTTCAGTCCCTCCGCTCTTACTCCAGCTTCTCTACGCACCACAAATTTCTATACGCATAGGTGGATCCAGCGGGAATGGAGGGGGAGGAGCGGGGGAAAGAGGGAAGAAGGGTCTTTCATCACAGTCACCAGTACTGCAAAAGCCCTGAACTAAAGCTAAAATTAAAGCCTAATGTAACTCTAAATCGCAGTGTTACACAACACTATTCCTAATTTTTGCATAGTTCAAAGGTGAGAGGGGACTCTCCTTCCCTTCCCCAAAAGTCCGTTCCGAATCCGCCTATTTCTGTATGCATCTTTCGGTGCAATGATTTCTATCCCCCACTGGATTAGGCAACCAGCAATCCTTACAGTATTATGCAAAAAAAAAACCGAAAGACACCTGCAGCAGACGGCTCAACCAGAGATTCATTTCACCGATTGCATCGAAATGCAAGCAATAGACGACATTTGAGGATTCTATGAGGCGTAGATATTTGCCGCGACTTCCTTCCGACACATCAGCACGATAACGGCTTAACAATAAAATCTCGTCATCACCCCCTTCTAAAAAAGTTAGCATTCTTTATGAAATTAAGTGTACATTCCAAAAAAAA